TGGCATCTGAATGGTATTTGAAGTCACGAGGTATGATTGTCAAGTATGGTGTGGAGACAGCCTGGAGCAGAGCCCGCGATGGAAGCTGCGCTGCCCAGGTAGATCGCCTTCAGGACTGAAAGTCTTGTCCCTCTGCTGTTAGCTGCCACTTAGCTGTGAGCCCTCTCCGGGTATTGCCCTTGGCTGAGGACAGCCACCATGCCCAAGTCTTCACCTGCTGGGGAAGGGCACCCAATCTCGGTGAAGGACGACTGCAAAGAGCCAGCCTAGCTGCAGAGGGCCTGGGAGATGGCTGAGGCCTTTGTTGGGACTATGTTGCCGTTCAAGTTCTCTGCCTGACCAAGGCTGCTTCCTCTCCTTCCCGCTCCATCCTGAGCGCGCTCCCAGTAAATGCCTGCATTCCAAGCTCTCCGCGTTGGCTTTTGGGGAACCTGTTCTGCAACCAAACTTTCCACTCGATGGTGACTTATTTTACAACAGACTGGACAGCTTTTGTTGAAGAGACAGCTGAATGGATCATTTAACAGGAAGAGGCCTCGGAATGCCTTTTACAGACAAAGTTCTAGGCAAAATACAAAAACTCTCATCAAATTATTTCTTCCCGAGTGCATCCCCAGGCTTCCGTGGGAAGAGCTCTGTGTAAGTCATCCTGCTTGTGTGAAGCTGATGTCAGTTTCACCCACAGGGCTTGCCTCCTTCACTTCGCTGTCCTCGGCCCTTCCAGCCACTCGGAGGAGAAGTTGGGACTAGCCTTTCTGCCATGGCCTTTCTGCCTCGCCATTGTCCTTCCCCCTTTAAGTCCGAAGTCCGCAATGACCCATTTCCTTTTTAAGTGGTAAGAGAGCTTCATGCTTTTCATAGCTCTCTGACTGCTGTTATTTGAAATTTAAATATAGAGCTGCTAGCAAGAGTCTGAGCATAGCTTCCCTTTATGCTTGCCTCTGGGAGAGTCTTAGAACAGATTTCTAAAAGGCTTATATTTCTACCACACCATTAAATTTGGGATAACATTCTTAAACTGACAGCGTGATTTATAATGAGACATTTAAAGTGCTTTTATCATCTCTTTCATTGGAGATATATCTATACATGGAGACAAAGCAAAACTCTTAGTGCCGAGACGTGATGACACTGATCACAGAAGACCCGGCTCACTGACATGTATGTATGTAAAGTAATTATTTTCACATAAAGCCTCCTCCTCTGAGTCCTTTGGAAAAAGACTCGCATTTGTTCACTTTCCTCCCACTTCCAGTTCTGACAGGAGTGTCTCAGGGAATGGGAATAAAATGTGAAAAAGGCATCAGTGAAAGTAAAGACAGGCTTAGCATCTGATGGGCATGGGGAAAAGGAGAAGCAGGAAAAGGACACGAATGTGTGATAATTACCTCTTTTCCATGGGAGGAGACCAAAAAAATTTGTTTTATTCTTCAGGCTGAGAGATGGCTGTCAGTTCAGGGATGTTTTCTGACATTAAAAAATCACCAGCCCAGCCGGCGTGGCTCAGTGGATGGAGCGTCGGCCTACGGACTGAAGGGTCACGGGTTCAATTCCGGTCAGGAGCATATGCCTGGGTTGTGGGCTCAATCCCCAGTGGGGGGCGTGCAGGAGGCAGCCGATCAATGATTCTCTCTCATCATTGATGTTTCTATCTCTCTCCCCCTCTCCCTCTCTGAATTCAATAAACATATATTTTTAAAAAATCACCAAAGGGGGAAAAAAGAACAACACCCCACATATGTGTCCCAAGTAGCTAGAGGGGAAAGTGTATGTAGAAAACAATGAAGGAAATCACAAGAAATAATAAATAAAAAATGTAAGACAATTATCTTATTGTCAGACTTAATTATAAGTATTTAAATCCCATGTTAAAAAGGTTCCTTAAAATGACCTAGTCAAGAAATAAAGTGCGATTTTAAAAGGCTGGGGAGAACAAATGGAATCTGTAGGAGGAAGGGTTTGCAACTGTATTTTAGATAGAGAGGAACTCAAATCACAAAACACGAAATGGACAAATAGATTCTTTTACGTTCATTAAAGCAAAGTTCATAAAAAGATGCAAATTTGTGAGGCTAATATACCAAATAACACAGCTTTAATGCAAGGAGAAATGTCACAAAAGTAATGGCACATAACAACACCCCTCTCTAATTCCTTGACAGGTCAAGCAAGTAAAAACAAAATCAATGAGTGTACAGAAGATTTAAATAACTAACAAACTTGATTTAATAGTTATGTATAAAATTTATATTTATATAGAATATAATTTCTTTCCTTATGTTCAGAGAATTTTTACAGAAATAATTCATATCTTAGACCACAAAGAAAATGTAATACACTCCCCAAAGCAGAGAATATACAGAAAACACTCTTGGACCACATGCAATAAAACTAGAAACTAGTCTTAAAAGAGATAAATTAGCAACGAGAAAAATAGCATTTAGAAATTAAAATGAAAAACAAACTTATTTTACTGAATGACTGGAGTCAGAGAAGCAGATCTTTAGTTATAAAATAATTGAGGAACTGTAATGAAAAAGCAAATATTTCAGAAGTAAATTAAAATAAGAGCATTAATTTCTTTCATTACCAGACAGGGACAAGGCAAATCAATAAACTAGATATCTGTCTCAGGAAGTTCAAAAGAGAAAAATGAGATAAACTTCAGGAAATGAGGGAAAAGAAAATTTTTTAAAGTATAAATTGGTAAATTAGAAAACTTAAAAATGATTGCCATAAGAGATGAGTCTTTAAAATGCTTATCTAATAATTGAGTAAGAGTAATATTTGTTTTACACTTAGAGATGTTGTTCTAAGCACTTTGCCTGTATTAACTCATCTAATCTTTATAACAACCCAATAGTACCCTCAATTTACAATGTGGAAATTGGGTCACAGAGAGGTTAAAAAACTACCCAGGTCACAAATCTAGCAAGTGGCAGAAGGGGGAATCCCAGACAGTCTGGCTCCAAAGACTGTATCTTTAAGTCCCACACTACACTCAAAATTATTCAGGAAACTGGTTACAAATTCATAGAAACAATAAATAGCAATTAAAATTTTTAAGTGAAAACAATGCATCTAATTTTATGCTGGAAACACAGATTTAAAAATATTCTTTGTAAGTAATTGATGGTGAAAGCCTCCTAGAATTATCAGATGAGGCTCAGAAGAACAAGTGTGTCTGTTTCATCCAGTCTGGGCCATACACTGCCTTAAGGGCGTATTATTAGGTCAAGAGTAAAGCCCGTGAACTTTGAACTGTGGGCGCGGTGTTGTGGTGGACAGGTATCTGTTGTTGGGACTACTCGGCACTCCCGTCCACTTTGGGAAATGCTCCCTTCCTTTCTTCCAAGAAATGCCTTTGTCCACTTCTGCGTGTGGCATGGGATCAGGGCTCAAATCCCAGTTCCTGGTGTTTTGTGACCTTATGTGACCCGTGTGCTCACGGAGCATTGTGAGGACAGCAGTTTATGTTTGTGCACTGCTCGCTCCGAGCTAAATGCTTTTCCCACCAGCCCCCTCCTGCAGGCACCACATTGTGCAAATGAGGGACGTGGTCCCAAAGAGCCTGGAGCGCTGCCCACCCTCTGCATGGGAGGTAATAAATACCGCCCCCCTACCCTTCTCCTTCCCGCAGGCAGGGCGAGCAGGGCAGGGCCTGGGCCCCCTGTGCCTCACAGCATGGTTCTGGGAGATCTTCAGAGGCGGTGCTTTTCCCAATAAATGTGCTTTTCCAGTTTTCCTACAGGCGCGGGGATGGCCTGTTACGGGGTGTATTACATTTTATGTGCGTGTGTGACCAGAATCCCTGCCACTTTCTCGAAACCATTTTGTCCCGCGCTGGTTGTGGCCATGCATGAGAAACAGCAGGTGGTGCCAGATGACAGATGGTGTGGGAGCCCGGTCCCCGGTGGGAGGGGGCGAGAGAGCGAGCGAGCGAGCGCGCAGGCAGGCGGCTGCCAGCAGCTCATCCCCGCTCGCTCGCTGGCGGCGCCTGCTCGCAGAAGCTCCCGGATCCAGACACGCGCAAGGCGCTGTCCTTTCAGCACCACGAGCCCGGCCGAGGAGGGAGGACTTGGCCGTGCTCCTGCTCTCCAAATTGGCTTGAATCTGCTCTGACCCCCAAGAGTGCAGCACAGTAAGTAGGCATTTGTTTTTGCTCTAACCACTCCCCAACACCCTCCACCCCTCCGCCATCCCTTCACCCCCGCAACAACCCTATTTTGTCTCATGATGTTCCACCGGCGGGATTGACAGGAGACGTTCAGTTGTGCTGGGCTTCTGGGGGTGGGGTGGGAGCGCCACTCGTCTTCCAAGGGAGCCGGAGAGGAATACATGCGATGTGTTTATCTCGTTGGCAATCTTGCAATACCGGGCTTGCTAACTTTCCGTGGGAGCAAAAAATAAAATAAAAAATGGCCCTTTGCTATTGAGGAAATGGAGGCATTCGTGGCTGAATAACAGGGTCAGGTTCAAACCGGTTCCTTTTTGTTTTGTTTTAGGGAATTGTATCTTCTGTACAAGATACATGTTACATAAAAGGGTCCACTCCCCATAGAGACAGTGAAGATATTTGTTGTGCTTCAGGGAGATTGCTGAAGAAAAGCCAATAGAATAAAATAGCAGCCAGGGTGGTAGGGAGAAATTTGTCATGCTGCAGGGTGACCCAGAATAACAGGATTTAATTGTGCACTATAAGCTTCTCCCTAGATCCTACACCTGCCTTCGCTCTGGTGTCTGGGATATACTTTTAAGCTTGTATATGTTTTGTGTGTGTGCACCTGGGATGTTCGCAAATTTGAGGGCTGTCGAGCCCTGTGGGCAGATGGCGTATTTTGATGATTAAAGAAGTTGTCCTGGGAATCGTGTAAGGAAATCTAGCGGGAGATCAATGCCTGCTCTCTCCACTGAAAGCCGCCCAGTGGGCTGCTGAGGACAGCGCTGTTCCTCTCCCTGCCTCGCCGCCCACCGTAACCAGAATCCCACTGCTCGCCTAGGTCCGGGAAGAAAGGCACAAGGATGGTGAAGCTGAACAGCACCCCGGGCGAGAAGGGCGCCAAGCCGCCCTCGGTGGAGGATGGCTTCCAGACCGTCCCTCTCATCACCCCGCTGGAGGTGAATCACCTGCAGCTGCCTGCTCCGGAAAAGGTAGGGCCGGGCCCTTCTCCGCCAGCCCCTCCTCCCGTCTCAGGAAATAAAGCGGCAAAACATCCCACCCAGACCCTTTCCTTGTGCGTCAGCCAAACACAGCCCCTTTCTTGTCCAATATAGTCATTCCTCCCAAAGGCATGACGTCACCTGTGTGCTTTCAGATCTGTGGTGAGTGTGCCTTCATTTGTTTGGTTCACATGTCTTCCTTTTTAAGGGTTGATCCTGGCAGATGAACACTGATAATCAGCTTCTAAAAGGTGGCCGAGATTATTTTGGGGAGATGTTTCAGAAATTGACTGCTGCAGATTTGGGGACAGAGAATCGGATGCGGTCCAACCAGCATTTAGTTAGCACCTGTGAAGGGCCTGTCCCTGTGCTGGAAGCTGGTTATAGAAAGACAGGTTACAAAATCCCTACCAATGCGTGCATCACGGTAAAGGCTCTTGCCAAGCAGCGCAGACGGTGAGAGCCCAGGTGGAGACAATGCAGTCCTGGGGAGGGGGGGGAGACAGGGGGGACAGGTGGGGTAAGCTGCAGAGGACATTTGAATTTGGCTTTTAAAGGTGAGTACAAACCTTCCAGGTAGCCCATGGGAGGGAAGGGCATTTAAGGCGAGGGGCACGCATGTGCAGAGCAGGGAGGGCTCTGGGAAGTAGCGCGCCTGCTGTAGAGTCTTCGGGGGAGGCGTGGCTGGAAATGAGTGCCTGTGAGGGCACGTCTCCTGACATGGGCGCAGTCCATGGGGGATGGAGGTGGGCATTGATACACAGGTGTGTGTGTGTGTGTGTGTGTGTGTGTGTGTGTGTGTGTGGCAGGAGGGGGGAGGTATACCATGGGCACAGGTGGGAGAAACATTGCTGTTTAAGAGCCATCCAGGAGCACCTGGGGTTGTATCAGGAGAGCTTTTGCACACCGGACGAGATGGATTTGGAGGCAAATGATGGAGTTCCCTGGCTGAAGAGCGAACAATGGATCATTCCGACTGTTTGATTGTCTCGTTGGCGTCTCCGGGAGGCATTGTGTGTCTTAACCAATTGGCTCTCTCCAGTGAACAGAGGAGCAGAGCTCGATGTAGGCCTGGCCCATGGCGGGGGTTGAGTCATCCGTTTTGAGAGTGACAATGTGCATGGGGGTGGCAGAGCCAAACTGAGAAAGGGACAAGGTCTTTACAAACGGAATTCACACGGACGTGGAGTGGGGACAGTGTTGACTGGGCACCTGGCACAGGGATAGCAGAGGCACCCAGTGTTTGGCTGCACAGGAGGATCACCTGGGAGCTTTTGCGCATCCTGAAATCTAGGCCACGCCCAGGACAATGGACTGAGAAGCTCTGGGTTAGACCCGGGCATCAGAGTTAATTCGATCTTCCCAGGTGACCCTGTGTGCAGCCAGAGTTGAGGACCACTGATCTGGAGGCACACTCCCGCGGGGAGTCAGGTTACGCACTCACATGTACTGTGAGAAGGTGAGGGTCAGGGACGTCTGGTAGTTACCAAGCTCAGAGAAGGGGTACGTGGCGATGCTGGACTTTGAGCCCAGGAATAATTACAGTTGGGACAAAGGGGCAATGTTCTCCTGAGGTTTTGTGAGGCTTCAGGAAAAACCCTTACCCTGCAGCCCACAGCTACAGCCTCAGATCTGCAAGGAGAAGGGGCCGTGGTGTGGTCACCCCCACACACACACACACACCTGCAAGTCACCCAGAGTTATGTGGCCTCTGTCCCCCTTTTCTGCCTCACCCACCCCATCCTCCTGCCTCCAAGGGCTTTCTTCTCTCCTTGAGGAGGAGACAGACCCATTCACCACTGAACGCCCAGTCCGGATGGACCCACACTCTGCCCAAAGCCTGGAGGAGAAGTGCATTGTGGGCCTGCACGGGAAGGCAGCCAGTGCACCCGAGAGCAGGTCCCTAAAGGAACACCTCCCGCAGGCACATCCCGGACTCCTGGCGTTCATGACGAGGTCTTCCTGAGGCAGCCTCAGTCTCCTCCTCTGTGAAATGGGGACGCTCACACCTGCCTCTCAACGGTCAGAACACAGTCAGAAGTGGCCTCATATGTAAAGTGCTGGGTACAAAACCATAAGAGAAAAGTATTGACCATTGTCAAGTGCTTCCCAAACGCTGGATGCTGTCTGAGCCACACGTACACACACGCACAATGTCCTTTCACCTTTTTAATAGTTAAAAGGACCCCACAAGGAAGTTGCTACTTTAACCCAGTATTTAAAGATGATGGCGCTCAGGCACCGAGCGGTCAAGTAACTTCCTAACGCACATAGGTGGTAGCATCCCGGCAATGTCTGGAGAACCTAGAACCCAGGCAGTGTTGTTCTAGAAGGTTCCACCTTGGCAGGAAGCAGGAGCTGGCTGGCCCGGGCACCTGCAGACGTGGACTGGAGCGTGAGCTCAGCAGCCGACCCACAGTGCGGCCCGTGAGAGTGCGTCTCCTCGCGCAGGCCTCCGTGCTCTCCCTGCGTGGGAACGGAGGCCACAGTTCTCTGTGCTGGGATTCAGATTTCATCATCTTCAGAGGAGCAAGCAAGCTCTTTCCCTGACATCAGGACACATGTCTGCAGAGTGCTTGCACTCCAGAAGCCAGAAGGGTCCCCCAAATGCTTCCTGACCAGCACAGGCTGCCCCCCCTTTTACTGGCCTGAGCAGCTTCCTAAAGTGCCCGGCCTCCCCGTGTGTACCGTGGGGCTGACGGCATGGGGACCCGCCCTCCCAGGGCTCAGGGCGGCAGAGGAGTCCGCTCTGTGGTGAGGTCCTAGGCAGGGGGGCGCGTGTGAAACCGGAACGGGGTCCGGAAGAAGTCTAGTGGACCCCATGTTCCATCACAGTTTTCTTTTTGGAGGTGAGGCGAGGTGGGCGCCGGCTCCTGCGGGGCCTGTGGGACTTCTGAAGGGGTTCGGGCAGGAGAGCAGCGGCTCGGACTTCCGCCTGAGGAAGATTGCCCTGGCTGCTGCGGGCCACGGGAGGGACGGGACTCGGCTTGGTCCTCTGGTCTGTCTCCCCCTCTCCTTCCAAACCGCCCTCCTGGAGGCACCAGACCCACTTCCCAGAAAGGAGGCGCTGGGTGTCCTGCAGCACCAGGACCGGGGAGGGAGGGAGGCGGCGGGGGGGGGGGGCGGGGAGAGAAGGCAGAGGTCAGCCGGAGACCGCTGCCCTGTGCATGAGGGGGAGGGTGGTGGTGGGCACTGGCGGTGGTGGTGGAATGGGGATGTGGGTGGATTTATGCAGACTTGGTCCTGGGTTGGCACGGAGACTTGCCCACTGAACCCAAGGGCCCTGGCTATCCCTGTTCCCTGTAGCCCCAGTCCTGGCCCGCAGCAGGCAGTGCTGGCTGAGTGAGGCCCCCTGTGCCTTGGGCTGAAAGCTGAGCATAATTCCTCCAGTGGGCAGGCGAGGGACCAGGCGAGAATCTGAGCAGTGGGGTGGCTTTCTCCAGGCCCTGGGCGCCCGAGAGCTGGAACATCAATTTCAGAACCTGCCTTTGGTTTATCTAAATGACCACAATAACCCAGATGTCCCCACAAATCCTCTTTGAGGTCACACCACTTCCCTCATTTCACAGATGCAGAAACAGACTCAGAGAGGTGACGCGCCACAAGGAACCAGCGCGGCCAGTCAGCACACAGGTGTGCCGGGAGCGAGAGCGGGCAGGGCGGCGGAGAGCAGCCCAGACAGCCCAGCCCCGCTTGGCAAAGCCCCAGACGAGTCGTGCACTTGGCAAGCCTGCTGCCAGGCTCTGGGCAAGCGCTCCTCCTTCTCACTGATTTCCAAGTCTCTCCACGTCCTGGCTCACCTGCTCGTTGGGGAAGGAGTGCAGACATTTCGAGATCGATTATTGGCGCTTGGCACACTCCGTCTTGTGCATGGCAAACCACGTGCGCTCTGTAGTCCTAGAGACCTGGGTCCAAACCCCAGCTAAGATCCTTAATTGCTGTGTGGCTTTAGGCAAGTAGCTTAGCATCTCTGGGCTTTGGGGTTTTTCCCAACTGGAAAGTGAGCACAACACCTACCTAATGGGGTTGCTGCGAGGGAAAGCCGTGCAAAGGTCTGAGAAGTGTCATAGGGGTGCTCACTGACGCTGTTTCCTTTCCTCACTGGGCCGAAAACATGCCTCCCAGTGGACAGCTTGGAAGCCAGCTGTAAAGGTGACATGAGCTGAGAGGGGTGGGGTTTCAAGGGTCGGGGTTCAGGGGCAGGACATGTGGACGGGAAGGGGGCACAAAGGAGATACCGCCCTTGTTACTGAGTCCTGCATCCTTCCTTGGGTCTCCTGTGGCTTCCCCAGAGGCTGCTTTCCTCTGCCTGAGACACAGGATCAGAGAACCATCAGCCCCCCTCCCCCCGCCTCCCCCAACCCCCTCCATTCCCCACACCCCCTGAGGGCAACAGAAATGCCCGTCTCTGCCGCTTCCAGCTCACAGGGCCCCTGTTCTGCTCTTCAAAACCCTTAAGAGATGGATTGTAAACCACCATGCACTGGGGGAAAGGCTCTGACTAGACGATCTATCACACAGATATAAAATGGCCACTGAGCGTCTTTAAAAATCCTTATAATTTAAAAACATAATTTTCAACAGAATATAACTTTCTACCTATCAGATGGCAAACCCGATCGCTGCTGCTGGTGTTGCTAACGCTGGCGGGAGCAGGTCCCAGGCTCCCTTGTTGGTTACGTAACCGGCTGCACTGCTCTCAGGGGCTGTTTGACATTGTTTATAAAACGATACGCTTCCCACTGGCAGGCAGTGACCCTATGGGTATAGTTTTGCAAGTCTGCAAAGGCCTTTATGTATTTTAAACATTGGGAACAACTGGAATGTTCCATGAGAGGGAACGGGTTAAACCAACTCGAAAATGAGGCAGGTTTGCGTGGGCTAACGCCCAGGCACGGTGCTCAGTTAAAGCGACTTCGTCGAGTACAGTATGGAGGGGCCCGTTCAGGGGATTCTTACAATTTATAACAGTTTCAAAAGTCATGGAGGAGTAGAGGCTCTGGTGCCGTGACAGCCACGGAGTGGGCGGCCCCTTTTAAAGACCTGACAGGAAAGAGCAGGACAACTCCTGATCGGAGGAGCAGACCTCCGATCAGAGGCGAGTGACAGCACTCCGAGGTTGAATTCCTCGTGAAAAATGGGACTAATAACAATTTTATTTATTTATTTAATCCTCACCCGAGGATATTTTTCCATTGATTTTTAGGGAGAGTGGGAGAGAGAGGGAGAGACAGAGAGAAACATGGATGTGAGAGAAACACATCCATTGGTTGCCTCCTCATGAGCCCTGACCAGGGCCCGGGCCGGGAAGGTGCCTGCCACCGAGGTACGTGCCCTTGACTGGAATCGAACCTGGACCCTTTGGTCCGCAGACCGACGCTCTATCCACTGAGCCAGACTGGCTAGGGCAATAATAACGATTTTAAAGGAGAGATGCGAGGGCAGAGAAAATGTCGCAGGGTGAGTCAGGAGAATGAACCGGGCCCTCAGCACAGTGCCTGGCACATAGTAGGTGCTCAGCCGCCGGCCTTTGTCTGCCCTGCTCTGAAATTCCCTCCCTGCTGCAGCGGTGGCCGGAGGTGCCACTCCGTCTATTTTTGGCCATGCACGTCCAGCTCATAAAAATACAGTCCTGCTCCTTGTCAGCACTTCTGCACTTTTATTTATCGTTCCTGCCAATCCCGGGGCTCGCCATGTGGGAACCTTTTTATTATTGATAATCCCGGGAAGTAGTATTTTAAATTTTTATGATCTGTACTTTGCGCCATCTGAACCGCCATGTATTATCTGGCCTGGACAGCGGAGGGGGTCCATCCAGATGAGGGTCCTTCTGGGATGAATAATTTATCCTGTTTTCGCAATGCCATCCCTTCACGATGATGGTAAATGATGTTCTCCGTGCCCGCCGCCCACGGGACAAGGGAACTGATACAGAAATAGGAGAAGGAAACACATTTATTTCTTTGCCCAGATCCACAATGATATTTGGAAAATCTGGAGGTTCATTTTTTCCAAATATCTCTAAAACCACCCCTTTGAGTAATAAGGCGAATAGAGAGAATTTTTCCTGTGCTCTCTTCACTTTTGCCCCATTTCTGTTATTATTCAAGGAGCTCGGGGCTCTGTTTTGCTCCATTTTTTTCCGACTGCTGAGAATAGAGCCTTTCTTTGCACATTGCGTTTCCTCTTCTCTTTCTCTGCTTGTGCAAGCTGAGTCCTCCAAGGTCCAATTCATAACGACTGGCTAGCATTTCAATGCTTTCCCTTCTTGGCACTAAAAAAAGTGGGTGTTATCGCGTCTCTTCAACAGAAGGGGGTTTCTGGCTCCTCTCCCTGAGAACCGAGCAGCGAGCCGCGGGCCACGCCTCGCAGCCGGTGGGTTCCAGTACCTTTATTGGGCTGGACTTGCCTGCTTCCTCATCTCCCCAGTGTTCACTCCTCTCCCTGGATGCACATCTACAGCCCTTCCCTGCTCTGCACCCCTCAGCTCCTCACTGCCCTCCAGTTCAGCTCCAGGGCTTGGCCCGCCATCCTGAGCTCCGCCACCCTCACACCACCTGCCCCGGGCTCTGGCCACTCGGAAGCACCTGCTTGTCATTTCCCCGGCGCCGCCTCTGGTCTCTGAGTGCGCGCTGCTGTGTGCTGCCCACTCGGTGTTGAAAGCTCATGTCCCTGGGTTTGGGGAGGCAGGAAGGGAAATGCGGAAGCTGGCAGGGCCAGCGTTCCTGGAGGGATGATGACGTTCTGGACAGGGTGGCAGAGGTGTGACTGCATAAATAGGTCGACTTGGGAGACATCTCTGAGGAAGCAGGAGCTGGCGATGGAATGCATTTGGGATGAAGGGAAGGCAAGGGTCATGGGAGACTCCTGGATATGATTTGACATACATGATGGTGTGGCTAATGCTGCTACTTCCTGAGCTGGGGATGACCGGGGGAAGAAAATGTCGAGGGGCGTTGAGCCGATCCAAGGGCCGATGTCCGGTGGGTCATCTGAGTGCTGGGTGAGGTCCGTGGTGCTGTGCAGTGAGAGCTATGAGGGTGCAGGCAGACTTGGAAGAGATGGAGTGTGAGCACTAAGGGGAGAGAGGGAGAGACATCGATCGGCTGCCTCCTGCACGCCCCCGACTGTGGATTGAGCCTGCAACCCGGGGAATGTGCCCTGACTGGGAATTGAATCAGTGACCTCTTGGTTCATAGGTCAACACTCAGCCACTGAGCCACACCAGCTGGGCTGGGAGGAGCTTTTGATTGAAGATAGAAATGGTGCTGGAGAAGCAACCACAAAATGTTTATTATGACAATTAGAACGATACTGCCTGTAGTGATTATTCAGTGTCTCATTCCAATAGTAGTATATTTTTAGTTCTGTCTCCTGTTTCAACATGTCGGCTACAGCATAGGGCCTTTTAAGTTTAGATGGAACAATGAAAACGGTTTTGAGCTTGTTGAGAAGCTTTGGGACAGATGTTTATAAGAGAGGAAGAAGGAAGGACTAGGACACATGCTTGGTAGCATCTGCTGTGATGTGCCGGCACTTGGCCAGTCTGCTGGCTAAGGATCTAGGAAGGAAGGGATCAAGCCAAGCGATCACTGAGATGGACTTGGCAATGTGGGAAGCTGTATTCGTTTTATTTTTTATTTTTTAAAATATATTTTTATTGATTTCATAGAGGAAGGGAGAGGGGGAGAGAGATAGAAACATCAATGATGACAGGGAATCACTGATTGGCTGCCTCCTGCACGTCCCCCACTAGGGATCAAGCTCACAAGCCAGGCATGTGCCCTTGACCAGAATTGAACCCGGGACCCTTTAGTCCCCAGTCTGACACTCTATCCACTGAGCCAAACCAGCTAGGGCCTATATTCATTTTCTATTGCTGTGTAACAAAATACCAAAAATTAAGTGGCCTGAAACAACACAAATGTATTATCTCACAGTTTTTGTAGGTCAGAAGTCCAGGCACTGACGGTGGGTTCTCTGCTCAGGGTCTCTTGGGTCTGAAACCAAGATGTCAGGTGGGCTGCATTCTTACCTGGCACCCGGAGCCTCTCCAAGCCTGTTCAGGTTGTTGGCAGAATTCAGATACTTGTGGTTGCAGGACTGAAGTTCCCATTATCTTGAATGACCCATTGTTAGCTGAGCTCACTTTCAACTTCTAGAGGCTGCCCTCAGGTACTAGCGCATGTCCCACTCACAACATGCCAGCTTCCTCCTCCAAGGCCAGTCTGCTATGGCAGCGCTGTGTATGTCATAACGCCATTAGAGGAGTGACTATCACATACACAGGCCCCACCCACACTTCGAGGGAAGATCTTATGCAGTACATGCACACTGGGTGGGGTGGGAACCTGGAGGCCCATCTTAGATGCTGCCTACCATAAGCTGCCCAGGCTTTGGCTCACAGGCACCCTGACTGGTTAAAGAGGGGTTCTGTTATGATTATTGTCCGGATTTCACAGGTGAGGCCCTGAGGCCCAGGCAGCTTTTGCATTCCCTGTAGTGCTGTGGCGCTCGGCATAGTCACAGGTTATCTGTCAGGCTCCGTTCTCCCTCCACGCTGCCTGCACAGTGGGACAGAGTTCCCTCCGGACATGTCTAGGCAGGTTGCAAAATATTCAGACTTTAATAAAATAACATAGATCTAATAGACCTTTATGTTTTTGTTTGTGGAAGTCCCTAAATCAATTCAGAATTAATATATGTGCCAGGGTTTAGCTACAGGATGTTCATCATAGCTTGTTTGTATAACCCAAACTGCGGAAGCAATCTAAATGTTCAACGATAGAGATTCTGTGCATACACTGAATATTATGCTACATCAAAAGGCAAAATACATATTTGTCTACGTGGAAAATGTTAGTATAGTGTTGTGTGATAAAAGCAGGTTATAATTCATAGAGTGCAAAGCCATCATAAAAAGGACCTATGTATTTGCCTAAATAGCAAGTATGCATAACACCTGCATCTATATGCATATAAAACATCTGGAAAGGTGTGGCCCAAATCGTTGGCCATGGTGGTCTCTGTTGGAACGGGGAAGTGTGATGGGTAATTTGAAGTTTCGGTTTCCTTGTGTGTGCGTGAGAGGGAGGCTCTCTGTTTGCTGCTCTTACGCACAGTGCCATGATCCTAGTGAAGAGAGGAAAGGGAAGGTGTGGTGTGTTTGCAGTCTCCATGCGTGTTAACTCCGCTTGCCCATTCCAGGTGATCGTGAAGACAAGAACGGAGTATCAGCCCGAACAGAAGAACAAAGGGAAGTTCCGGGTGCCGAAGATCGCCGAGTTTACGGTCAGTGTCTTGATGGTGTGAGAGAGATAAAGGTAAGGCGGCTCCGGCGGCTCAGAGCCCGTGCAAGTGCAGCAGGTCCTACTGGAGACAGGAAACGACACAGGCTATTTCTGGACCATTTCTTGGGGCCACACTGTCTGGGTCACTGAGTCTAATCAAATAACAGAAGCGCTGCCTCTTGAGGGTGACTCACGCTCTCTTCTGCTCCGGAATGTTGGGCTAATTTGATAACTGATAAGTGTGTCTCCTTTCTCCTTTTCCTCCTGTCCCCATCTCCCAGCCTGCCCGGCACAATCTCCAGGAAATGTATAAGGAAACTCAGGTTTTACTCAGTAGACGGTTGCAACAGGATCCAATAAAAACAAAGGGAAAGAAAAGCTGACTTTCTAGTGGAAAAAGCAGACGGTTGCCTTTCTGTTTCCTGGTGGAGGGGTCACGAGGAAAAGTGACCAACCTGTGTCACGGGACGAGTTGCGTGGAGGAGCCGAGAAGCCTGCTCTGCGGAAGGAGCCCCGGGAAGTTTTCTGGACTTTAGTGGCGAGGAGAGCTCGGCTTGTGCAAAGGCCCTGAGGCTGGAGGGAGTCTGGCCCCAACACTGAATCAGGAAAGGGGCAGTGAGGCTGGGCTCTAGGAGGGGCACAGGGAGCAGGTAGAGATGAGGCAGGAGGAGTGGGCAGAGGGCTGACAGTCCCAGGTCTAGTTCACGTATGGGGAGTTTGGGTTTCATGCTAGAAACCTCTGAAAGATTTTAAACAGGAGTGAGACATGATTGAATTTGGGTTTTGACCAAAGCACTGGCTTTTATGAGGTTGATGGGCTTTAGAGGGCAAGAAGGACTGTGGGGAGACTCTTAGGCTACTGCAATGGTCCAAGTAAAAATCAACAGTGGCTCAGACAAGGATGGTAAGTGGATAGAGAGACGTGGGAAGACCTAATGAGAATGAGGAGGCAAAGTCAGCCACGGAGGCAGCAGGACAGGTGGTCCTGGGGGTGGACGGTGGAGCCGTCTGGCTGGGTTTGAGCCATGTGGCCATAAGCAGGGCATAGCCTCCGTGACCAAATGGAGACAATAGGATTGCTGTGAGGATGACGCAGAGTACACGCAAAGCACTTGGCTCTGTGCATGGCCAGCGCACAGCTAACAGTAACTGTTTGTGTCAACGGGGACTGGGGCCTTCGATAGGCAAACAGCGCTGGGCAGGCTGTCTGGGAACTGGCGGGTGAACATGGATAAACATACTGGTCTGTTTCTGGTCCTCTCTGTCTTTGTGCCAGATCCGTGTTCCTGCAGCCGGTGTGTGAGCTGGAGGGATAAGGAAAATCATTCTGTGTTCCTGCAGCCGGTGTGTGAGCTGGAGGGATAAGGAAAATCATTGCAAAATGATTTTGAGCGGGGCTCGGGTCCGGGTGGGCTGAGATGGAGGTGGGCCTGACAGGTGTGTTCCTGGTTGGAGGAGGAGAGACGGGGGCTCACCTGACTGGGGGAGGCCATCCACTGAAGCGGGAGGCTGGGGGAGACACATTGAGTGTGAGGCGCCTGGGGGGAGGCTGGGGGAGACACATTGAGTGTGAGGCCCCTGGGGGGAGGCTGGGGGAGACACATTGAGTGTGAGGCGCCTGGGGGGATAGAAGGGGGGGGGGGTCAAACCGCCCTTGCATGTAACTGGTCTGGAGCTCAGATGGAGACCGGGTGGAGACCCTGGGCTGGAAGTCAGGTGTTCATTGTCTCAGAGAGCAGGACGCTGGTACCCCGGCGGGCCACCCTCCAGCATATTGCTCAGGCAGAGGTAACCGTGGGACAGCAGAGACGCATCTGTCCCTCGTTTCAGTACCTGCGCAGAGGTGCAACAGCTATGACTGCACACCTCAAAACTGCCCCGGAGAGCAGCTCCCAGCACTTACGCCCGTGGGAGAGGATGCGAGGAGAGAGCAGGGCAGGGAGACACGGTGAGGAAGATCGGCTGCAAGAGTCGCCT